TATATATATATATATATGTTGATTTCCCCCCCTTTTTTTGTACTTTTATTCACGGGACTTGGATTTTTTTGTATGTTTTCTAGACAAAATTTCTGAACATTACATGCAACTTATTATTTTCTTCAAACATTCCTGCTTTACTAGCTATTGTTATGCCAGTCAACTATGCATTATAGGCCATCATACCAAAAATTCTGACTCCATCACTGCTCTCAGATAACGATAGTGCCCAGAGTTCGGCATGGTGTACAGCCCCCTACCGAACATATACAAACAAAGGTGGGGTGGGTATTTTTAGGATGATTTTTTAATGAGACGGGTCCCGCATGTGTGAGGCTTAACAGGCCTGACACAGCAGCATAATTCTAATGCCAAACTTAAATATTTGTTGTTTATATTTGCTTATTTAAAATACTAAGGATAAATAAGTTTTTTTGCTCAACTCTAAAGAAATTTTTAACCGTCATCAAAAATAAAATTTGCTAATAAAAATAAGGTTGAGATTAAATACAACGAAAAAAATTGAAGATGCGTAAAATGAATAGAAATTAAGGATATTCAATGTAATTATAGTATGGTGTAGTTAACAAAGGACGTAGTAAATTTATTTATTCAAAATATAAACTTTAGACCTCCTTGATAGTTTCGACAACCATACGAGTTAAGTGTATAAACCTTTTGAATTTAACGTTAATTAAATCATGAAATTTTCAGTCAATTAGATATAAATTTAGGTGAGTTCCATGCCTGATTAATGAGATAAGTTTGAATAGATTCCTTCCCAACAAATATTCCATCTTTATTATTTTCAAATATTTTTTGAGTTTCTCAAAGTTTTAAATTAGCCGAATATTTAGACATTAACGTGCGGAATTACACAATTAAAAGTAACAACTCACTTTTGTAATTATTTCTAGATGATTAGGTCGATCATACTAATTTATCTCAAGTTTAATATCACAGTTTGTAAATAGAAAACAATAAATAACATTAATATGATTACGGAGAAAACCCTTCGCAAATAGTCAAAAATTCCGAACACTTTACTAGTCAATAATTCACTATAAACGATGAGACTTACAATACGGACCATACCCATTAATACGTAGTCCCCTCTTACCTTCTTCCTATAATCACATTGGTCCTCTTGAATTGCGTGTTCATCACACCAGCTCCCTACTCTTGGTATCGTTTATCTCCTGTGCACCTTCAAAAAGGAACCTCGTTTTTCTGCGCCATAACTTCAAGCACCTCTTCCCAAAATTCCAACTACTTTGAAGACTAATTGACGAAAGTAGGATTGATATTTGATCGACGATCTTGTGTGTTTTGATCTATAGTTTAATATTAATGTTTATAACTCAATTAACAAATCTAAGTTTGGATGAATTTATGACTCAAATAATATGGTGGTTCAATGAAAGTGTTTTGGATCTTCAAATAAATGATCTCTATGAAAAAATATGATTCAATACACTTTGGAACGTTCGTGGTGCAGACTATATATAGGAAAAAGTGTTTGTAATGAAAAAGACTGTGAAAATATGTGTTTAAACCAAACAAGAATTCTGATTGTCAAACCGTCGCTCGAACACTAGACTAGCGCTAGGCAAAAGGCAAGCGCTCTGCCAGGCGGCAAGCGCTATGCTAGCGCAAAAGTGCAATCGTTATTAACTTTTTCAATTTCGAATCTTGATTTTTTATTTGGATTTCTTTGACTTCTTTTTTGGACTTTATCAACCCAAACTATTTTTTACAATA